TTTATTAAGCTAGCGCACGACAGAAAACATTTTGCTTTAATTAGCTGACTTTGCGGACATTAAAGGCTTGTTTTCATCAATTCGACGGACCTGTGCGCCAGAGCTAATATTAACTCGAACATTATAGTTGAGCTATTTAATACAAAGGACGCAGGATGCAAATACTAAATAGTACAACAACACAAATCGGAAGGATGCTGACCAAATGCTGCAACAGCTTCGTCGTTTGTATGCGAGTGGACAAACATAAAGACGGAAATGTAAATGCACCAACTGCCAACTGGCAACTACAAGAGTTTCCAGCAGCAGCCGCAGCAACAACAGCTTAAAACATTAAGACAAATGGCAGCACTCGCTGCAGTTTGTAAAAAAAGGACTTTCTTCGCGACAGCCGACTGCACAATACTCTGCTCACAATGAAACGAACAGCTTTAAACAGTTCACTGTTCTTGGTCGGGTGTTTCTAAGAATGTAATTATATTAGGAAATATCGATTTTTCGAATTTGTGAGGGCGGCTGTAAGCATGGCCGCAATATTTTTAGAAAGGTCATAAATAGACCATGTAATTAGTTGGCTCTAGACCTAAAGTTGTGTGAAACAGGGACTTCACGCCCCATAGATTGCATATATACATGCCAAACTACCAAGCTTTAAAAGTAATGAACAGCAATTGGAAAAAAAATAGATGCAAACTGTATTGAACAAATATACACTCTTTTACTTTTTGAACAGAGGATTAAAACTGCCATGGAATATGGAATAGGCGAATGCAAAAGGCAAAATAATAATTTCTAAAGAGCAGAAGTTACGTTTGCATAAACAACACCAGTTTTGTTCCCATTCGGTGCGCATACTAAACTTTGCATAACAAGACAAAACGCATTAAAGCCGCATTCTTCCAGCCTACAATGCAGCAGCCACAAAAATATGAAAGGTATTAACAATAGAGGCAAATGTTACATATAACATGCAAAATGCAAAAAAAGTGCTGCCTACTTTTCAGCGGACCTGTCTTGTGTGCATTGCCGAATTCAGTTGCCATTTTATTTTTTTTTAATTTTGAATTTTATTGCTTCTATGGAAAGGACTTTTATTAAACTAATATGAAAATTTACAAATTCTACGTCTCTTTGGGACGCCCCTAGCCAGACGATTTGGATGATTTTCAAACCCCGATTTTGTTCGGTCGTCAACATTTAAGAATTATACAAAATTAAATAAATTTAACAAATTTCTGTGCAAAGCAGTCATTAAATGCTCCAAACAGACAAACAAGTAATCAAGCGTTCCAAACAAAGATAGCAGAGAATAAATGAAAATGAAATAAAAATAAAAATGAAAAACAAGTCCTAATAACCCGTTTCGTTTTGGCCGTCTCTTAAAGCACCGCATTTTGGCACAAACGCGCAAATGTCACGCAAACGTTGTTTTAGTTCAGTGCAATGTGCTGGCATTTAAGCACACAGACAGCCCACGCTCACACAGACACACACACACACACACACACACACACCCGTATTCGCAACGATACCCACTCGATCCGGATACGGATCCATGACGGTGACGCTATCAGGCGGAAGTGGCACATGTCACGCTCCACGCTGCCTGCTCATTCAATTGCGATGTGTTTGTGAATGCGAAAGACTAAAAAGAATTCACATCCTTTGGGCCATGGCGCGGCAATTATGGCTGCATAGTTTTCAGTCCTGTGTGCGCGTGTAGTGTACGGTAAGTGCAATTAACATTTATGATTACACAACGGCAACAACAGCCACAACAACGACTACAGCAACAATCAAGAGCCCAGCTCTTTCTATAAATATTTAACAATAATTTACAGCATCGACTTGAAGCTTTACGCATTATTTTCTGGGTGCGCTCGCATAGTAATAATTATGTGGGTTAAACTGCTCCCCAAAGGCAAAAGGCGTCATGTGTGCTCTACCAGAGGCAGTCAGACAACCCACAAGCACACACAGACACGCACATAAACAACCACATACGAGCATAAACCGTGCCAGTATTTTCTTTTTAAAGTGTAATTCCACTTCGGGCCAGCTTCCTCACTCTTATATAGGCGCCGCCTGTCATTCAACGCGTCGCTGACTATCTGACGTCATCAGCGATAGCATGTAAAAGGGTTAAGTGGCTCTGCTCCTCTCTATATTCACTTTTCATTAGTAAATAAAATCAATAAGCAACAAAAGCGAAAGACGGTAAACAAAGAAACTCTTAGGCCAAGTTCCATTCTAAGATATTTTGAACATTTATTATTTGACCCTATATAAATAGAGGAAATTTCCTAAATTTATCTGCTCCTGCTATGACAAGGAAAAAAAGTTATACACGAGCGCCGAAGTTTTAATACCCTTTTGATAATATGCGCATGAGATGAAGTTAATTGGAAGGCTAAACGACCCTAATGTTTATAGTAATCTATAAATATAAAGAGGGTAAATTAAAGACATTAAAAAATTAGCTACAAGACTCGGCACCAAGAGTTATGCATCTAATGGAACGAGCTGCTCAGCTACGTCCTGAATAACTTTTTTAGTATGTGACCCATTTCGTGCTAAAATTATAACAACCTCTGTAAGGGTATGCCAATATAACTATACTATACTATACTATTTTGCCCACAGCTCCAATGAAAAAAAAATTCATCAAATATCTTATATATGTACATAATATATCATCAGCCGCAGCTTTGTTGCGTTTAGCCCTTAGCGCGACATCGTATTGCCGCATCGTATCCGCAGTTAAGGTCTTGGCACAATAGGCTGTTAACATTACGTTTCATATTGGCTAACTGAGGCTGTGGGCATAAAATAAATATATAATAACATTTCAATTAAAGACCGACTCAGTGTAACTGTTGATTTTCCCAATTTAATTTGCTGCATGGCCACGCTGCGTATGCGCAATATCATTTTGTAAAAAGCCAAGGAAATATTTATATTTGTCGCAACATTTGCAAATATTTGCATTTTGTTGCACAACATTAATTAATTATGTTTTACAGTTGCGCCGACAGACGAACTGTGCGACGCCGCGTATACGCAACGCACACAAGCTGCGCGAGTTCATAAAACTGCACAAGGGCAATGCTAACGGCAGGATAGTCAAGTAGTTGCTATGTCCAGACTGGCCACACCCACAAGCAACCCACGCCTTCTAAGTAGAGTGCAAACATTGCGCATTTCTTTTCCGGCTGCGTTTTTTCCCCGACTCCCCTGGGGGTATTGCTTCAAGCCCGGAATTTCAACGCGCATAATGTGCCGCAATGCGGTTTTTCCCGAACGCCACCAGAAGTCGAGTCGAAGACAACACCGCACCGCAGGACACACACACACATGGAGGAGTAGCTCAGATACATTTGGCTCAAGTGAAATTTCAACTTTGTGTGCTAGTCACCAAAGTTCGTGAGTGTCTGCGTGTGTGTGTGTATGTGTGTGGCATGTTGAGCTGAATTTTGAGCATAAACGGCATAAAATATGTGTGCAATAAAACACACGATTGAAATGCTCAAGTCAAAAACTTTGCGAAATGCCTTTAAGCGCCATTGGCTTGCGCCGGATTGTGGTCGGGTTTGTGTGATGTGTGTGGCCTCCATGGGCTTGATTTATGCCACATATTCGCATATGCTGCCTTACTTAGTGTGTGTATTTAAGCCGCTCAATGGCTGCCATCGCCATTGAATCAAGCCGCCCGACCGCCTGCGTGCCTATGAATTGGCTCTTTTTTAAGCTTAACCCGACTCTCAACGGCCGTCTCTTGGGCTTGTTTTCACATTTATTTCACTGAGTTTTGAAAAGCGGATTTTAGTTTAACCAAAGGCGTGTGAATTGAGCGAGAATTAGATGAGTTTTACAGGCTGTTTTGGCAAGATTTTCCTTTCAACTTATTTGTTTTGCCTGTCCAATTTTATGGTAAACAACATGACTGGCCTCAGCTGCCTGCATTGAAAATGCCATAAACGTAGGCCTTGGATATGCCACTTGTCTATGCATGCCTGCAAACATCTCAACAATTTGGTACCCTGCAAAAGCAACAACAATTGACAGGCGGCAGCATATAAAATTACATACGCTCAGCTTCTAAAAGATACATTTTTAAATGTAATGCACCCTCTAGGCAAATGGTTCAAATCCAATTTTAGCACACAATTACATGCATATCATATATGTAAAAGCGTGGATAATTTGCCATAAAATATACGTTCGTTATTTTTAAAGGACCCAACAAAATTTTACAAAAATTTAAAAGCAGAAAAGTTGTTTGACCTATTTCCCATAAACTTTTGAAGTGCTTACTGAAGAGAAGTGCAAAAAAGGGGAAAACTATGAAAATTCAATAAGCTCAGCAAGCAAATTAATTAGTGTAAAATCAACATATAATTTGCTTATGATGCTCTTATGATAACATCTTTTGCATAGTATACCCAAATATAATATTCTCTTTCCAAGTGAATCAAATACAATTTGATCCATTTGCAATTAAATTGCAATGTATTAAACTGCAATTAAATTTAATCGATTTGAATGTATGATACAAATGTATACTATTATCAAAAACTCTTTTTTTAAATTGCCATTTAAGCATTTTACATGAAGTAGTTAAGGTATAACTCCAAGTACTTGAATGGATAATTAACTTTTACTGTGTTGAGTGAATGCTATAGCATTGCACTTAGAGCAAAAAGTTAGACAAACTGTCTTTTTTTTTGGACTTTTAGGTCTCTCAATGAGACATCAAAAGCTAATTAAACATTTAAAGGGCTTTCAAGTTCAGATTTACCGAGCAACTTTAACGACAGTTTAATGCCTTTCGAATTGGGTCAAAAGACGCTGTCAGAGAAATTAAGCCAAATGATTGAAGCTCTGATAGTAAGTAACAAAGTTAATCAGCTGAGAACAATGTGCTCATAAGGTACCAAGGAAAATGTTCAGCAAAACTGAAAGCATAAAAAAAACAAACGTAAAAAGTCTCATCAACTTACTTGAAATTAATCAGCAACATTTACCACTGCGAAACTGCGTGCGTTGTTTTTTTTTTTTCATAGATCTCTGTAGATGTATACACACACATATGTATCTGACTGAATACCTCTTAAGTGCACGTATATCGTTAACAGCTTAATTGCTTGGCCATTTCCACGGCGTTGACGTCATGACAGGTGGCTGAGCGTGCACGGCGCTGAGTTTCAGCCAGGAGGCTGCCCGATGTCTTCGTTACTGCCTTTTTAAATGCTTTTGTGTGTGTAAATGTTTTCCTTTTTCTTTTCTTATTTTTGTTTGTCTGTTCTGGCTTAGTTTTTCTCTTTATGTTGCAGCTAATCCATTTGCGTGTACGCGGCTAAACTTCTGGGTCTTCTATAATGCCTCGTTCGGCTTGTGGCGAGCATGCGTGGGTTTTTTCTTTATGCATATAAATTCATGGGAGGCTTTTACTTAGCGTTTAAGCACTTGATCCGCTGTGCGACATAAAGATATTACATGACATAGCGATTTGCCGCTAAGTATACACAAAACACATGTAAACACACGCACACCTGCATTCGCACATCTACACACACACACACTTGCACTCGCGCAATTCACTCGGCGCAGCAGAAATTTCGCGTGTGCCGTTTTTACGACTAATTTCGTTTCGCTTTTGGAATTTAATTAGTTCGAAATAACTATTGGTATTATAATTGTTTAATTTGCATTTTGGTATTTCAGTATTACATATATATGTATATTTATATTTATATAAAAGGTTTAGTTGATGGAAAAATTACACAAAACGTTGTTGATATGTTATTCGATTATTACTTGGTAATATTAATTTACTTATATGTTTATAAATCAATATTCAGACTAAAGGTGATATGTGTCGTTACAAGTTAAGTTGATATTAAATTATGTTTTAATTATGTGTTTTTCTTGCAATTATTTTGCTTCACATGACACTTGCTCCAAAACCTTCAAACACTTGTACATTGTTAATCTGCAAAATAGGAACAAAAGAAAATGTATATATTAATTAGCAAGGCACACAGAGGTAAATATGAAAATTTTAAATGTATAAAACTTTGCCTTCTGCAACTTATATTCGCAGGCAGGCTGTCAGTTCCCCTATATTTGTAGGCCCCCATTATTTGGCGGCGTCTGCAAACTTTTTATCTGCCACTCAGGTGCACAACTAAAATTAAAGCCTTTGGCTGCACCGCCTACCACTCAGGCCTTTTTCACTGCGTGTTGTAATTACATCAGCGCCGAGATTTTTATTGCCACAGTCACACACAGGCACTCACACACACACACACACACACACACACACATAACTCCCTACCACCATAAACATACAGAGTGGGCATATAATTAGAGCATAATTATGGGCCCACTAATACTCGAGTATCAAGAAAGAGTGGCAGAAAAGGAATTAGCTGCCAGAAGGGAAGCTTCAGTCGGTCATCTATTAACTATAATCAACGCCAAGGCAAGCGGAAATAGACAGATTTCCGGCTATTAAACATTCAGCTGCGCGGCAAAAGCCGCCAGAACAGGATCTCAGACAAGTACACTTAAAAAAAGGACAACCTCAAATTATATTAGACAGCGTGGGACTCCGAATATTATTCATTATTCAACGGTATTATTCCAAATTTCCAAATTATCAAACCTCTGTTATATATATATTTATTCGTTTTTAATTATTTATCAAATTTAATTATCAAACTAAACTCATCTATTTTTTGCAGTGTGTTCTTCTCTCGGGTACCGTAAATTGTGTGGTATAAATTGAAAAAAATGTTAATTAGCCGTAATTTGCCTGCAGCGTTTAGATACTTGGTAGGTGTGTGTGTGTGTGTGTGTGTGTATGCCTCCCTTGACATTGACATACACACGGAGACACACACACGCAGCAGGTGTTGCCAGCCTGCTTAATTTAGTAATGAGCCCATTCTCCCCAATTGCTACCCCACCCCCCATTGGACATCTTGACAGTGAGCTCATATATTAGCATAAACAGTTCATTTATATTAAACTGAATTTCGCCGGTTGGTCCTGGGGTGTGGCAAACAAAATGCGTATATACACAGAGCTTATGCGGATGCATGACAACACAGTTCGATTAGCCGAAAGTACACAATACACATGCCTAATGGCAGAGCAATGGCGGCTATTAAGCGCGGCTGTAGCGAAAAATAAACAATTCCAAAACTAAATTCTTGCTGAGTATAGCACAAAAGGCTATCAAGTTTCTTGTTAGCAACAATTTACACATTTTGTGCACCCGCTGTCCCAGCCCTCCACCCACAAAATATGAAAGAACAATATATTATTCGATTCAGTAGACTCCACTTGCCACAATTTTTTCCTTGTTGTTGCGTTCATTTGCTTTTTGTAATATTTGGCGCGCCTGAGCACGCGATATGGCAATTGATAAAACGCCGGGTATTCGATACTTCCTGTCACTCTGCTGCCCCTTGGCACTGGCAGCGGCAGTGGCGGAAATAATAACCAATCCTCTGCACCCAATGAAAACAGAAAAAAGTCCCTTATTTTTGCCGTAGACCATGATTTCTTATATGTATGAAGAATACGTATATAGGTATTTGCGTATTTCTTTGTTCTGGTGGAATGATTAGCAACGACATGTTATTTGCCTTTTGCTAATGTTGAGCAACAGCAGGCATTGATTTATTACAAGCTCCGTAAAATAAAAAAAAAAGTACTGTGCTCTATTTGCTTTCGGCCTATGCCTTGAAATAGGCAACGAACATTTTATTCTACCTGTTACTGTTATTGGCCCTGCTATCTATTGGTTTTTCTGTTAATAAAATGTTAGTTATACTGTTATTAGTATCATGTAATGAGACTGCCTTTGCTAGTCTCACAGTCACACTGTAATTTTAATTAATACTTTATTTGGCTATTCTAAATCATAATGTTTCTGTTGCAATTACTGTCGTAGTGACAGCCACTGTTACTGTTGCTGATACTAATTATTCATACTGCTACTCCTACTAAGTAGCAGGAGTCAAATATTGTTAACTTTGCTTACGGAACTGCCAAACCTAATTTATGTAATTCCAATTTTAAACTTAAATATTATGGTAAATTGGACAACGAGCAGGCTATAAACATTGCCTGTGGCTTAAAGCGAGTACATGCGGAAAATGCTTGAAAGCAGCCAAAAACAATAATATCAAATGTGTGTCCGGTACTGGGAAATATGATGTATGGGCACCACATACATAAATCATGTTTGCCTTTTGTACGTTCTAATGGAGTTTAACTTAGTTTTTGCCAATTTTTCAACGACCAAATCGAGAAAACGGCCCGCGGCTCCAATCGACATGACCAGGCATTGCATGGCTTTGTTATTATTGAACAAAAAGACTGAACGGAAACATTATGGAGCCGGATCGAATATTGTAAGCCCAAACGAAACAAGACAGAACCCGCCGCACCAGTAGCTGCAGCGGCAGTGACACCAGCAGCCAGTAACCGTGTCGTAAATTTTGATAAAATATCTGAAATTTAATTAAGGTTGGGCCGCGACAGCTGCAACTGCTACTGCGCTTCAATCGAAACAACATAAAGCCATGCAGCTGTTGGACAGTCGCAGTTGTTGGTGTGCTCGCAGCCAGGTAATTTATATTGGGGTACAGTGCGTTCGCCATGGCAGCCAACGTCATTGTCAGAGATTTCAGCAGGCAGCCACACTAAAAACATATCTATATAAATGAACACTGGGATATCACTTACACGGCCAAGGTTGGTGACTGTTGGCTACACGCCGCGACGGGGGGTACACATATATATATATATACGCATAACTCGGATATACCCAAACGCTCCGATAATGGTCAACTAGACTGACATATTTGGAGGGCCGTCAGCGAAACGCAACGCGACGCGAAACGCGGGGTGAATAGGGCTACGTACGCTTCTATAGGTGTCCGGGTTTTATTTGCGGCTGCTGCAGCACGTTGCAAGTGGCACGTTGTGAATATTGCAGCTGAACGTTAAATTTTGCGGTTTTAACACCAACTCCAGTCGGGCCGGAATGTCGACGATATTTTCGCGGTGTAGGATTCTACCGTACTGCCGCTGTGGCGAATATAACGCCTGTCAGCGGCTAAAGCCGCGTGGGTCATCGTTGGTCAGAGAGAGAGAGAGGGAGTTAGAGTAAGACACACACACACACCGAAACACGAAAACACGCATGCACACGCACACTTGTGCGGCTTAGTGCATGTCCTTGAATGTTTCACAGAAAACTTTTGTTTTACGCCTCTGGCGCCAACTCAACAAAATTACGCCAAGTCGAGTTGGATTTGATAAATTCTGAACAGCTCACTGAAAATGGCTTAAATGTTATCCCTAATATCCGCGTGCTGCGCGTTCATTGCTGGACTGCGGCAAACTGACAAACACGGCCAAAGCGTCACTTGCTTTGACCCAACTCGTGCAGTGGCACGAAAACGAGCGGCACACGCAGTCCGGATAAAAATGCCAGAATGCCACACAGCGACTAATAAAGAGAGCAGCTCTTTAAAGAGAGTCCTTTATGCTCTTTGCTTGTATTTGACTTTTAGTGCGGTGGAAAATGATGGCACCCACTTCTAGGGCTCGAGCTGAGTACACTTAAACCGCCTTGTGCTTGTGTGCTGGCTGAAGCTGTGGCTGCGGCCCGAACTGTGGAATGGACATGGCCTTGTTTTGTTTTATTTTTTTTTTTTTTAATTTACTGCGCGCTTAAGATTCAATTTGGCAGCCCCTGCACCCACACATGCCACTGCCAGCCATCAGCTGCACCGCCCCCACTCGAGCACCTCAGCGCATGCAAACCATTTGCCGCCAATTTGGGTCAATTGGTCACGGCTGTCAAGGTCTTAAACTTTGGTATTTATGGCATGCCATTCATTGTAATTTTAACATTTTTCTCTTTTTTTTTTTTTAATTTGTTAAAAATTCATTCCAGCACATGCTGCATGCTTTTGGCGACTCGTATGCGTGTGTTGCATGTGCCAGTAATTTCCGCGAGAGTCGCGTGTTTCCGTTTACAAGCCGCACACACGCAGAGGCCGCTCGGTGGCACTTAAGTATCTGTTGGCGTAGCCAAAGCCTCTGACATCCCTCTAATAATATCCGCAATTTGACTGCCAACCAAAGGAATACATTTGAAATGTCTGGAACGTTGTTGGGGCAATCGCAGTCGTTGTCACACCAGCAATCGTTGTATAGAATCTAATCTCGAGATATAAACTAAATTTATTGGAGTATTTTGAATACATTTTACGTGCGAGTACTAAACAGCAGAAGTGAGACAAGTTTGGGTAACCATTTATAAAATGCTATCATTTTAGACAGCGAACTAAATATTGTAAGGGAATTTTTTAGTTATTATGAAGATTGATTGCTGAAGATGAACAAAATAATTATTTTAATAAGTTAAAGTCCTTATTTGTACTATTCTTAATAAAATTATTTTAATCATTTTTATTATTATTATGTTTAGAAGTACGATTTATTATTTCTCACAAAATTAAGAATGAACATCTACAAAGGAAAATAATGCAGAGAAAACTAAAGAAATCCTTTAGTTTTATTGTCCTACCGTAAACATACATACATACGAATTTTAAAATAACATATAAAAATACAAATTTCTACCATATATACGTCGATGCTTCAATAAATCCACATTTAAGTTAGTTTTGACCAAAGAGCGTTATGGATGAACGATTAGGTTGCATCTATGTTCTGTGGTGCTAAATGTTATTTATTATTTAACTTTTAGCAGCCGCAACTTTTTCTTTTTTATGTTGGCAACATATTTCGCCTGTCAATAAAACAAGCAACTCTCTTTTTTCACTTTCACTTCTGTGGTTGTAGTTGTTGTTGCTGCTGCTGTTGGGGGCCATAAATGGCTGACAGTAAATTAATTTACGTGCGTTACAAGTGTGCTTAATGGCTTCATTGTGGGCGTTGCGGGGCGTGGTTGTGTTATAAACTCAACAGCCGTTTGCCAAACAATTTACAAATCTCTAACTCTGTCATTTGTTGGTCCACTGAAAATACAAGCTCCGCTTTTTCACATCCTTTCGGCATGTGAAATGACTGTTTGCTCGCAGCCTGGCAACGAGAGCCGCTATACTTCATATGCTTTGACCATTTTTGCGTCACATCCCTCGTCCCGAGCTTTGCTGACATTTTAATTGCATTCAGAGACAACGCCGCAACAGCGAGCGATGATTACTGACAGCCAACAGTCAAACAGTCAACCAGTCAACCAGTCAAAAAGGATGGCAATTCAGCTAGAAAGCTGAACTCCCTTGCCCAGACTGACTGGCTGGCTGACTGTGTGATTTGCTTAATCCGGAACGTTTGAGAGCGCTGCTAAAGAGCATCTTTTAAATATTTCAATGGCCAGCGTATCCTGCAATTGGCACAGACACACACAGACATATATGAATGCAAGTCCTCGCAATGACCATTAGGAGTACATTTTTCTTTTTGACGTTGCGCTTTTGCCTCATTTTTTTCGCTCTAAGTGACTGCTGCCCCTAGTGCACGTACTTTTTCCTAACTGCCCCGCCAAGCCCCATTGACCTGTTTGAACCCAGCGCCTGGTTCGGCCAGACAATGCAGTTAATCTTTAATAAGCAGAAGTGAAGCTGCACCGGCAGTCTGCTTCGAAGAAAGGAAGTAGTACAGAATCGAAAGACAACATTTGGGCATATAAATAAATAATATGTTGCAGTGGATAAGAAATGCAATTGAAACAAGAAAAATCCTTCCAGCTAGAATCTCCGAATGCACAACACTCTATTCCCAGTCGGTTTGTCAAATTTCAAGTAAGCACTCTACATGGAACTGATACACAACTTTAATAGGACAAAAGCGAATTCTACAAGGCATATTATTTCAATACAATTTTTTATATTTTATCTTTTTTTTCTGTTGTTTTTGCAATTTTCAATATGGAAACTATATTCCAAATTACATTTTTACAATACCCTTTTTTACACATTTTTAGTGGATACAGGAACTCATCGTCTACCATTCACGTAGTATCTTAACAGTATCTTGCAGTATTTAACATCGCGAACTTATTTCATATTATACAAAAGTCACGAGAATTATATAAAATATATGTTTTTCGTAAATTCTGTAGTTCTATTAAATAAATATTTATTTAATAAATAGTCAACGTTCGTTATTAAGAGTAAGTTTTCAAGAATACACACAAATAATATATATATAAAAAAAAAACTGATGCTGGGTTCAGTGTCCAGTTCAGAGGTCAGCTACCCCTGAGCTAGACATCTGCTACACAGCTTACTACAAATTGATGTCACGTATTTCGTTTCCTCACATATGTTTCTATCACAATGTCGGCAAAGTTTTCAAGTGGCACAACTAAAGGCTCAGTTGTCTAATTTAATTGTATGCCCAGTTAAATAAAAATAGTTGAAAACGACGTGCCCAAACATGTATGTAGGTGTCCAATTCTAGACACTTAACGGAAAATATCTTACTCGAGGGGAAACCAGTGCAGTAAATTTCAAACTCGGCTGTGTTTGATTTGACCTTTTAAATTTGTCGCCAAGCTGAAAATTGTGTTCGCCCATGCAAGGCCACATCGATTGGGTCAACTAATTTTAGCTCATTACCAACTTGCACCAAATTAAGCTAAAGTCATTGAACCACGAAGGCGTACGAAATAATTCAAAGACATAAACAAGGTATACAACAAATGAATTAATTTATATATAAAATTAGTAACCACATTGGTTTCAGCACAAACATAGTTTAGTTAACATGAGCTTTTTGTGCAAATATAGTTGAGTTTGAAAATGCTTTTAGTTTTTGAAGAAGTAACACACAAAGCATTTTACACTTGACCGCAATCTGCACTTGTGTAGATGTTACTTCCACAGGCGTCATGCAATTTTCTTTGTATACCCTATAGAAAAATATACTCACCAAGTGGTGCAAGCTCAGGCAGTGCAATAAGTTAACTAAATTAATTAATTAGCTGCCAAATTATTCTATATTTTCCTGGGGCTTCCTCTATTTATGGACTAATGTGTCAAAAAAATATGCATGAAGATGTCTCTATCTTTACAATATAAATTGATTTTAACACAGTGTAATGTGTACCAGCAAATTTCAGAGTTACTTATAAATGTACAAACTTATAAGTAAAAAGAAAAAAATATGTACACAGGGTATGTTATCAGCTCTCAGCAATGCAAAAAGTCATCACGCATATATGCATTGTTTTGCACAATTTAAAGAGCTAAAGCAATTTAATTAGAGTACAGAGCACTAGCCAAAGCAAGGGCTTTGCTCTTCACATAAGCACACATGCCATACCATGCATACCTTGCACACCTTTTGTTCGTTCAATTTGTGTTTCTACACCGTCTACCCATTAAGAATGAGGAAGAAAAGGTATACTTGTTTCACAAAGATTATAAGTGCAGGAGTCTAAATGTTCGGAAGAAGCGTTTTCGTATTATGCGCGCGGTTATCATCAATAACTGACTTTGTGTCCAAGCGAACATAGTTTCATGAGCATTTCACGGAGCTCATATCACTCGCTCACGAGAAATTGTAAAAAACAAATATACTGGGTATCAGCTAGTATTCCATTTTTTGTTTTCTTTTTTGCTGTCCAGTTTAGCCATGGGAGCAGACAGTTCAACTGCCACCAAAATTAGTACACAATGAGCCAAGTGCTGGAGGTGGAAAAGCGGTCTGGAAATGCCGCCAAGCATCAGCAATAGGTCCCCAAAGTGAGCTCATTGAGCCAAGTGAAATTGGAATTTTTGCCGCTGTCCCAGCGGCAGTCACGGCTGGACAGTTGTCGGTGTTTGTCATTTTTGTTTCTATCTATGTAGCTGCGCTCGAGGATGTCTCAATTGACGTTTTAATTACGAATTGTTTAGGTGCTGCGTGCTGTGCTTGTTCCCTAAGCGAACTCGTTTCTATTCAAGGCAAATTATTCAACGAACTTAAACAATAGTCAATGTCGAAGCCATCGATTATACTGCTCCGCAAACAGGTTAAGCAGTGGCAGCCCTTCGCTGTAGACAAATTTAATATTTGCCTTGGCAATTTGCCTAATTAGTTTGCGAGCAATTGGGTTTCATAACTAACGGCAAGTTCAGGTGAGGCCAAAGCCTTTGCTACGCATTGTGTTGCATTAATGAAGCCGTTACATTGAGTTGCTTATGCTGGGCAATGTACGAGTCCTCAAGAAGAGTACGAGGGTGCAATAGTTAAGGGATAACATCCTAACCACATCTTATGCTATTTTTACTTTAAGCTCTGTAACAGCTGTCGAGCCAAAGACATGCGCTGGTAAGTCGTTCACCTAGGCGTATGCGCAATGCGACCGTC